TCACACCACATAAAATTAACAGTACGTGACGGTCATATATAAACTACTATTCATGAAGTAATGTGAAGATTTGTCGGCATTGAGGATCGTGTTAGATATAAATCTATAAAAGAAATGATTTGGTGTGATAATATTACGTTCCAACAGTGATCTCAATTTTTCTACAATAACATCATCATTATGTGACAATATTTTGACTTTCCTTTTGAGTGATTTGATTGTTTTACGGAACTGTTGATTTTTCTTTGCTAATGTTCTGTCATGGTACTTTCGTAATGAATTTCTATACAATTTTCCACAAGAAGAACATGTACATTGTCTAGATGATATTGTAATAGGTTCGGAATGGGTGAATAAACGACCATCACGAATAAAAACTTTCTTTCCAATTAAATTAATCAATTTTACATCACCAATTCTTTTTAAATCAATACCAGGACAAATATTAGAGAGATCATCATCATCATTCTTGTTCTTGGATCTTGTTGATTTCATAATTTTTGATCGAAGCATGAACTTGCTTGGCTTTGGTGGCATTTTTTGAATTTTGACCAAGTTAAAAATTTACCACTAGCCCAGCAAGAATTTCAATGTTTTTTCGTATCTAGTTTTTATTCTTAATGATTTACATCTCCAACAATATACGAAACTAAATTAAATTACAATTACAATCTTTCTGATTCGGCTTTTTTTAAAATACTGAAAAATAAGGAAGATAAATTGACAAAAACATAAGATTTGAATCCTGAAACACTAAATCATTAACAATTTATATTATTTTGCTTGATTATCATCTTTATATAATTTAACATTAACCATGAAAACATTGGTTAATTATTTCTTGAGAATATTGAAAATTTTATTCCAAATATAGTAGTTAAAGTTTAATAGATAAATATTTAAAAATACAAGGTTTTAAATAGCAAATAATTGATACATTACTTTTTGGTATGTATACAATATAATTCAGAGAGATTACCATATGAAATTTAGAAAATGTGGTTTTTAAGTTGTTGTAATTAAAATTGTAATTTTTCAAAATGACAAATTGATTATTTACTCGTGTAATACAACGATTGAAACCATTACAATTCATGAATAGTAGTTTATATATGACCGTCACGTACTGTTAATTTTATGTGGTGTGATATTATATATATCGTTGGAAGTCAACTTGGCCCATGTTTTCCCAGTGACGATTTCAGGCCATTTTGAATATGCGTCGGCCACCCGTGAAAAAAATGGCGGCAAAATGACGTCATCTTTTTGATGATATCATCAATTCTCAGCACATTGGGAAATAACTCTTCTGAAAATACTTCTTCATGGAACTGATAAGAAAATGGTGGTTTATTCATAATATTAATAATAATAGAAAAAAATGATCAACTCGACATTGCCAAAACTTCGTAATGATTATCCAGCTGAATTTCCTTCCGGTTTGAAACAATTTAAAACAATAATTCATCAACAAGAATCGGATCAGGAAAACAACAAGATCAAAACAATAATTAATGAAAAATTATATTTAAAATTGGTGGAAGATCAAACTTGTTTAAATTGGTTAAATGATATTCAACCTTGTGAATCTTCATTATCTGTTGAGGAAATTCTCAAAAAGTACAGAGAAGCATTTCATAGAATTGGATCGAGAAGTTTTGATTTACATGGAGAGGAATTCCAAAACTTTTGCTTGAGAGTGACGAATAGAATGTCGAGAGAGAATGTTCGAAAGTTGAGCTATTCGAAAAGTCATGCAGATAAAAGATTATTGAGAGGAAGAGTATATGCTATTGGATCGAGAGTAGATGTAGCTTGGGACGGTACTATGAACTTGAGTGAAGAACAGGTAGAGGAGAAACGTTCTCAATTAATTGACCATTTGAGCTCTCTCACTTTATATGATTGGTTTTGTCCTGAATTGAAACCTGAAGCTCCTCTTTTAATTGATGAGCTTTTAGATTCAAACCTACTAAAAACCAGGTCACTGAGAATGGGAACACAAGAAGTTGTTGAGCTGGTTTCAAAGGAATTAAATGATTCTAGTAAGAAAGTTGCCTGGGTCAATTTTGCTAATGCACACAATGTATGTGGAACATATTGTGTTGATTATGGAGGATCTCAAGAGGAAGAAGTTGCAACCAATTGTGATGGTGCTGCTCTATTGGGAACTGTTGGAAAATTAATTGATACTGGAATGAAGAGCTTTGTGAGAGGAAGGTGGGTTTCTTACAAGAAGGGTCTTCATTTGCCTCCAGGTGGCAATTACTTTACCAAGACAAAATTCGTGACTGGTAGTGAGCCAGTCGATTGCTACATGATTGCTGCTGCATTTGCAGATTTCAGACCATTTGTTCCCTTCTTTACTCCATACTCGGAGAGAAATTACTTTTACTCCTGGTATGGTTATGGAAATATTACAAATGAAAAGGAATTGGAACAACGACTCATTCTAGATATTGAGGGAGTTCTCAAGACGTGTGCCGATCAGAATATTCACACACTTGTAACAGGTGCCAGTGGATGTGGAGCATTCTTACATGATCCATTCAGAGAAGCCAAATTGTGGAGAAAATGTTTGAAAAAGTATGAAAACTCATGCCTCAAACAAGTTATTTTTGCTGTTTTCGACTTGGAAGAAAGTCCTAATTGGGCAGCATTCTCTGAGGCATTCAATCAATAACAATGAATAAATTGTAAATAAAAACTCTAATAATATAAAAATAACTACTAATACAAGGAACTGGAAAATTAAGGCAACCATTTCAAACCTAGTGCCTTAGTGTCTTGGGTAATGTCAAATCAGGATAATTTTCATCATGAATGTGAAGCAGGGGTTCCCGAGTGGTCAAAGGGGGTAGACTCAAGTTCTACTGCGCAAGCTTCGTGGGTTCAAATCCCACCTTCTGCAATTTTTCTTCCTATTCTTTTTCCTTAATGACAGCACCTTATATTTATAGATAAATATCTTCCCCCTAATGTCTAGTTTATAATATAAGGCCTCTTCATATTTTGTATTTAAAAAGTTAATCATTAATGATAAGTGGTTCTAAAAAATTGCAGTAACTTATTATTCAAAAATTGTGGAGCTTTATCACTGCTTTATTACCAAACCTATCGTAACCAGAGTTTTGAATTTCTTGCACAACTTGAAGATGCTGACAAATTTAGCTGTTTAAACACTTATTCAAAACTCTGGTTATCACTCTCCAGAAAGATTGAATAAAGAATGACAATATCTAGCAAATTCACTGTGAGACAGATTATACAATGCATTTACAGTTATTTAGAGATAAACTACAGTGATTGACATCTTGATTACAAAATTGTAACGTTTACAATAAGCAATTCGCTCATGCGAAGGTATTTGCCGGTACTCATGAACTTTGTAAAGAAAACTGACAAATATTTTACACTTTTAGCTAACAGTTCAACAATAATAGTTGTGAAAATGATTTGTTATTTACATTCTTTTCTTTATTACTTGATGATGGTGAGACGTCGAGGATACTGTCATTGCTGATCCGCCATTCCATGAGGTAACATTAACACCTGATGAAATTAATTCCTTCCATGACTTGAGACCATCATAGACAGCCTTTTCTCTTTCAAGTCGTTTGAGACAATCAGCAAGAAGACCCAGCTCTCTATCGTTTGGATCATCGTACCATGTGGTACAAGCCAAAGCATTTTGTGGTTGCATTGCATAGCAACTTGGAGAATTATCTACAATAATGGTTTGATCTAAATCACGACCCAATCTTGAGAGATCCTTAATGTAAGTATCACCAACCTTTGTACAATGTTCACGGAATAATCTACCTTCAATGACACCATGCTTATCAAGAATGTCAAGAAGTGGGTTGGCATACAGGGAGAGAGAAGCAGTAAAGATGATAATTTCATAGTATTGACCGAGTTCTCTCAAGTATTCGTCAACTCCAGGTCTCTTGAGAACATAACAAGAGTATGTTCTACCATCCATTTCAATTGGAATCACAAAGTCAGCTTGGTCAGTATGTACAAAGACAGAGTGAACCAATGTTTCATCAAGGTCAAGTACAAGAGTCTTCTTGCCTTGAACGTGTGGTCGTTGAGGTGGGAGAAGAGCAGTTTGTGGAGCTTGCTTGTGAGCTCTCTTCTTATTTGTCTTGACTTCTTCGTCTTGTTGAGAAACCAGTGAGTGCTTCACCTTGTT